AGTATGAACACTTGTTTAGAGAAATTCTATATAGAAACTAAGCAGCTTAAACCTATAAATTACTAAAGTATGAACACTTGTTTAGAGAAATTCTATATAGAAACTAAGCAGCTTAAACCTATAAATTACTAAAGTATGAACACTTGTTTAGAGAAATTCTATATAGAAACTAAGCAGCTTAAACCTTTAAATTACTAAAGTATGAACACTTGTTTAGAGAAATTCTATATAGAAACTAAGCAGCTTAAACCTTACTGGTAATTTAGGTTTCTGCTTTAGAGGAATTGCTTGATTAAATTTGAGAAAGGTAAATGTTTAACTGTGTGGTGCTCATTCTTTCAGCTTTCTAGTTATTCAACAAAAAATGCAATGTTGACCATCTAATACTTAAGAGCCATCATAAAGTATAAACTGATTTTGGGTTTGTATATATAGAATATTGTGTTCAACTTCAGTCACTGTGTTTCTTGAATAGTAATTTGACACATGGTATACATATTGTTTATCTACAAGTTCTTGTATGTAAAGTACTTCTAAGTTTTGTAAAATCACAAAAATATCTTAAGATGTAATCCTGCAATTCATTGAGAATAATGTAGGTAGATGACTCGTATCAAATATAAATATGTAACTTGATATTAAAGCTAATTAATTTCACATGCACTTGTCTGTGATTAACTTGTGGGGAGAATGACTGTTAAGCATGCTAGTTTCATAGAAATTCTGAGCTTTTAAGTTTAATATGTCACATTTAGCCTGTTTTGTTTTATTGCATGTTTCCTTAGTCAGGTATATGATTATATCAAGAAATGATACACTATAAACAGAAAAAAATGCTTTTGAATGCCCATGGTAGCTTAACCACTTAGAAAATTAGTTACATGTACATACAAGATCATTAAGTTACTATAATTAATGCATATCTTGAGTGTTTTTGTCTCAATCTCTTCCTGTATTTGAAGATAATAGTGTTTCCTTGGCTTGAGTCATCATAGCTTCAATCTTCTTTTCTCTTTTACTTTGGCATACAGATTTTATTCATGATCATTTATTTCATATTATTATTATCAATGTTTCCTGCATCTGCATTGTGGTATCAATAATTTTGTGTTTTTATCTTATTTCATTACTTTGGGAGAATACAATAAGTCTGTCCTGTTAACAGTTAATAATCTTATAAATCTGTCCTGTTAAACAGTTTGTAATTAATAAAGTGGGTTGTGCTAAACATTTCATAACCTAATAAGTAGGTTGGGATGAACAGTTCATAATCTAATAGGTAGGTTCTGTTGAACAGTTTCTAATCTAATAGGTAGGTTCTGTTGAACAGTTTCTAATCTAATAGGTAGGTTCTGTTGAACAGTTTCTAATCTAATAGGTAGGTTCTGTTGAACAGTTTCTAATCTAATAGGTAGGTTGTGTTGAACAATTCCTAATCTAAGAAAGTAGGTTGTGTTGAACAATTCCTAATCAGTAATAAGTAGGTTCTGTTGAACAATTCCTAATCAGTAATAAGTAGGTTCTGTTGAACTGTTCTTAATGTAATAAGTAGGTTCTGTTGAACAGTTTCTAATCTAATAAAGTAGGTTGTGTTGAACAATTCCTAATCAGTAATAAGTAGGTCCTTTTGAACTGTTCAGAATGTAATAAGTAGGTCCTGTTGAACTGTTC